ACTTGCTGACCAGTCTAGGAGGTTCAGACCTCCTGCATGGGATTTGTCACTTGGTATCCAGTGAATATGAGCCACTACATGATAAGGAGTTTGAACAGATAATGTTCAAGACTTTCTTTCCAGTAGCATTAGCTACTGCAGCTCATATTTCGGAGTTACATGCACTGGTTGTGAATTGTGTGTGTTTTGAATGAAAACGTCATGGCAGAGTTTTTCTGGGACTGCGTTGGGACTTTGTCGCAAAGAACCAGTTACCAGGACAACCGGATAGAATGTTTACCATCCCACCGTTGTCAACCATTCTTGGGCCACATGATGTTGGAAGATTTGTCTCTCTGCCCTGTCAGAGCTCTACGTATCTTCCTAGATGCCTCCCAAGAGCGCCGCCGTCTTCGTGGTAAGAGGCTATTCATCCCGCTGTCTACTACATCCAAGGCTGAGGTCTCACGGACAACTTTGTCCTTTTGGATGCGTGTAACATACTGAGGGCGTACGCCTTTGCTGGATTGCCACCCCCAGCAGCATCCAATCCACACGAGACCTGAGCATTAGCTTCTATGATGGCTTTACACAGCAACTGTGCAAATCATGGAGGGCTGCTTTTGGTGCTCGGATACAATGTTTTCCTCACATTATCTGAGGTACTTATCGGTCACTGGCGTCCAGGGTTTGCTACCAGTTTCGACCCCTTGTCTTGGCACAGCAGCTATCGTCGGCCCATCAACACAGATGAGTACAGTGCGCATTTATGCATTTGCTCTCGTGGACATACTGAATAAAATTCTGAATTATATTTCTGATTTTTGTTCTCGATTCTTCTGGGATTAGAACTCTTCACTCAATTTTATTGGGTTATTGCAATTAGTGTCTATACGGATCTACAGTGGTTAGTTCTTGTATTTGCGATGTAGAAGTGTTCGACAATCTCGCTTGCTGACCTCCACTCCACTGAGCAGTCACGTCAGTGTAGTCCTTCCTGATTTCTTTTTGGAATTCGTAGTGTTCTAGTTCCTAAGTACCTCAGCACACCGTTGTGGTCTTACTGTGGTAAGTAGTGGAAACCATGTGGTGGTGTTCTGGTACTGAACGTTAAACTTGTGACCTTTCCGATTCAGTTTCCTTTTCCCCTATTCGTGATGGGGTCTGGGGGGCTGTCTCGAAGCCGGTGCGGGCCCAATTACTAGTCGTAAGACATTAATTACGGGGGTACTCTGATAAATCGTGACTAAGCGAGGTGACTCGCCTAGTTGCGTCCCCTTGTGTATGCGAGGGTTGCGGCCGAACACCACATCGCTCTGGGGGCATCCACTCCTTGGGAGCGATTGTACCTAGTAAGCCAAGGGGTTCAGGATAACCCATCACTAGTATAGGTACTATGCTAGTCGGATCCAGCCTCCCTTGTTCTTTGCTATCTACGGTTGTCATTAGCCTATACAGTGTATACTGTCAGTGCTTTTTGGCTTAGTGTAATCTGCGACCCGCCGTCCAACCGTGGGATAAAGTGCAAATTGTGAGATAGGGTCAGTTTAAAAATGTGGAAATTTTAACTATAAATTGTATATTTGTACTTTTATATACTTATCCTATCTCACGCGATGTATGTCCGCCCAGCCTCCCCGCTACTCAGATTACGGCGGTTACAGTTAACTGTCATTCGCTCCAACAAGAGAATGATCACTCTGAGGTAGTCACGTGGGTAGATAGGGGAGCATGCTGCTTGCTCAGCATGGGACCAGGGACCTGTCCTATAAGGAAAGCAGCCTGGGGAACACGGGCGTATGGATAAGAGAGGTCTACAGGGAAAGTTCTAATTCGTTCCACTCGGCATCGAAGCAAGAGAGAGAAGTGCAAATCGTGAGATAATAATTGTATATATATAAATATACAATTTATAGTTAAAATTTCCAAACTGTAAAATGATAATTTATATTTTTGTTTGTGCAAACATAAACGTCTTACTACCAATCTTCAATCTAGTATTGGTTTCTTGTAACCCCTTTTGGCCCATGATACATTTACCACTTTTATTGCCTTGCTTGTCTGGCATCGTCATCTCCCCTACTGGTACATTCTATTATGCGCAACATTCCTGTAAGTACATCCGGCCATGCGCACTCGTTGTTTACATCCCACAATTCCGTAAATGCCTTCTTCTCCAAACGTGCGTAGTAAGCACAGCGATATTCCAAAACTCAATCCTCTGTCATCGAGTTACCAGCTTATCATCCAATCCAGTTTTCAAGCAGAGAAGCTGTCAGGGCTCACGATCATGGCCACCAGACACACTCGAAGGCGATCACGAACACTAGATAATGGTGGGGATCGCCATGTTGGACCCAGCATCGAGAGACGGAGGTCAAACAGAAGTTCCCCCTATCTAACAACAGCCGTCTTGCGACAGAAACTGTTTGACATTGGTGTAAACGGAACGGAAGGTACTTTTACAACTCTACAACGAGAATAACGACAAACACCAGAGCATAGCGAGATGGTTCCTTTACCCTCCCCCGACAGGGGCATTCAACAGGTGGCTGTGCCTTGTACTCAACACCCTCCCAACATCGGCAGCTGATATGGTAGGGGTGATGAGAGAGATGAAGGACCTGATTTCTTCCCTTTCACAACAGCTGGCATGCACTTCAAGAGGAACCGACATTTCTGGGCCATCGGAGCAGCCACCACCGGTAGCTGCTCCGATGGCCACCACTGTCCCTTATGTCAACATTGTGGACGAAACTACCAGAGGGAAGATCCACCAAGGTAAATATATCAACCTTGCTACACTCCTGCTACCTACACAGGAAACAGGAGATTACAGAGTTGTTGATGAGCTTCTCAGTGATTGTAGGAGCTAGAAAGCAGACCTTAGACTGCAAAGGAACCTCAACTTTGCAGAATTTACCAGAGCGTTCAAGATTTTTAAGGATGTGTTTTTGTGAGGCATGGCCAAATCGGCGTCAGCATTTGGACCAGCAGGAACACACAGTCAGGGAATTGTACAAACTTTATGGCAGTTTCGTACATTATGAGTACCACAAACAATTCGCGGCACGAGTGGCTGCATTGGCTGAGAGGGGTACCCATATCAACTGGGGGATTCCACACACCCGCATCCATACAATGTGTACATCGGGTCTACGTTGTCAGTCCTGTGACAAGTGCGGCATGCTAAGCCATGATGCCGCTACATGCCCTGCAATGACGGTGCAGGACACTGATCTCTGTATGGACAAACTGCAAGGAAGAACACTAACCCTGATTCTCATGGACATATGAGGATACAATATCAAGGGCAGGAAGTGTGCAACAACTATATAACAACGACGGCTGCATGCGACCAAGCTGTACCTTCTTACACGTATGCACTTCATGCTTTACCAAAGGCCATGGTAAGATGGACTGTAAGAAAGTCACACATTTAAATGACAAGAGGCAAACCAATGTGAGGAAGTGACATCCACTGACGCCTTTAAATGCAAGCCAGTTCAAGAGAGATTTGGAGCACCATCCGGATAGACAATTCAGCGACTATGTGGTGAACGGACTGCTACAAGGATATGTGCACATGAACATATGTGCCACTTGATGCTATTAAGGAGTTATACAGAGTCGGTAAAGGTGTCCAAATGTGCAAAGAAGACATTAAGGATGCCTTCAAACAAGTTTCACTCCATCCAAACAACTGGCCTTTGTTTGGATTTAAATGGGACGGTCACTATTATTTCTTTAAAAGACTAGCCTTTGGATGTTGGTCCAGTCCTCGTATCATCGATCACATATCACAAGGTATTGAGTGGATTCTGAAAGATATCTACGTGAGATTCATTCATTCATTAGTGGACAACTTCCTCACCATCAACCGGCCTACGTATTCAGCCACTATGACCATGAACACTCTACAGACTGTTTTCTCCAAGTTGCAGGTACCATTATCTGAGAGTAAGACTTGGATTGGCATGTCAGTTGGAGTACCTCGGAATAGTATTGGACTCCGTGAGCATGACGGCCAGGCTCGATGTTCGTAGTTGCATATTTTCCAAAACATTCTCAGCGATTCTCAGTTCATCAACAATGTTTCAGAACGACTTGGTGATTAGATCAAACAACAACAAAAACAACATTAAAATTATGACTAAATTATGTAAAACGCAGTGAATGATGATTTAGTAATGTGTCAAAACTGGCAAGGTTTACGATGCATGTAATTTTTCAGTAAATTTTCCCTCAATACAATTAGACCAGATGCTATGATAGAAAAGCGAATTTCAAACAAACTTCACTGGTACAGAATATCATTTGTAGATTTACCTAACTATCAAAACAAACTTCACTGGCCACCAGGACCACTGCAAACTTATCATTTGGTGGTCCTGGTGAATTTTTACTAGCCAGGGACCACGGGAAGAAGTGTAAATTTGGCACGTTGTCATTTGTTGACCATTGTTTTCAATTACAACATTCCTTTGTTATTCACAGGTGGGTGACAAACCCATATGATGTAACTGATATCAAACATGTTTGTGAGATAGAATTCCAGGTTCTGGTTTGGCTATTCCATGGTGATGACTTTAGTTCAGATTATGATGGACTAATTTCCTTGTTACAATTCTTTGATAATTTGTGCTTTGGTTGATTTCACTTATGTTTATATGTTTACAGTATTGATCTTATCTAGTTTTTCATCTCCGCCTTGATAATCCATAGGTATGACCAGTGGTGGGTTACTCTGTATATGAGTAAACACTGTATCCCAGTCACATCACAAATAACCATTGTGTTAAGTATTAATGCACCACTGTAAGCATGAAAATAGACCGAATGTTTGTCGATTTGATGCTAAAATGGTGCGACTTGAGGGTGTTTAAGAAACTGATTCCTGTACTTGTGCTTAGTAGATACCGTTTGTCTCCAAAACATTGTACCTATGTGAGCTTTTGTATCTAAGTTGTAATGCAACCCCCTTTTGTTATTTTAATTTTGATTTTTTTGACAACATTCAGAGCAAGCAAGAGAGACATCATGGCCTCAGCCATCTCAGGAACAAAGTGTCTCACAGGGAACCCGTCACCTTTCATTCGAGAACTGGGTAGAGGGCTCACCCCATGATTCTGATGAATATGATACTGATGTTGAAGAAGAAAAGAAACCAGGTGAATGAGACATGCTGCTATTTTTCTTTGTGTTAAAAACTACAATACATGGGCCTTCGTTGGTGTCATGGGTAGATGGGGGATGCATGATGACAAAATTTTGTCCTTGCGTTTAACGCAAACAAACATCATCATGCAGGCACACCTTTCATAGAGAGCAGTTGAATTCTCGTACTGACAATATCCCAGTCTAGAAACATTCAGTATGAAGAACATTTTTAAAATTAGGTTTCCCTTGACACACCCTTGAGATATGATAAGGTAAGATAAACAAATTTCTTTATTATCCCAAGGGAAATGTTTTTGCATCATACATAGTTCTCCAGTGTTTACAATAAAAAAGCAGCTATATATAAAATTATAAATGATAATCCTAAAATTATTTGTATAAAATAGTCAGGACATATTTATAGATCAATTTAGTACACAAAACATTTGTATTGACTAGACATTCTATGTTGAAATTAGACATACAAAGTCGTTCATTGAATTTGTTATTTAAACGTCTAATACTCATACTGGAACAAATGAGTGGCGAACCCTGTTTGTTCTAAAAGTCAGCATTTGAAGCCTGCGTCCTGTATGTTTTCTTTATCATTTGAAACTGTTTTCTGTTCTGATTTTAATTAATCATGATTTGTTCAACCTTTGTTCATTTTCTTTTGTCATTTTATGTTTCACCTAGAAGGTCAGCAGATTAACAGAAGATGAATAAGAAGAGTTGATGCTCTCACTGACAGTCTCTACATCAAACTGACCATGTTTCTGGTAGTTGAAGCATTAACGGTCTGTTTTACAGTTACATCTAATGATCTTCAGTAGTTTCTCTGGTGCCAAAGGCATGTGGGTAGGATAGACTGAAGTTTGTCACCCACTCCCCAATCACGTGGAATCAATTCCCCAATCTAGCCCTATCCACTACTGCACTTGCAAGAAAACATGCTGACAGTGGTGTTTGGCTGCTGCTAGTGGTGGTAAGACATGAATGTGGCTAAATGAGGTGTTAGTCATGACTTTGTTGCAAAATTTACTGCACTTCAATAGATCCATGTCTTCCCCAGGATTATCATTTTGTAGAAGGACATATGCTTTGTCATACTCCTTCTTTGATGCCTTTCAGGAAAATACTTCAGCTTGGTGCCTGAAATCAGGGTCACCTTTAGGTTTTGTGAATGAGATGATGTGTGACATCATGCTTTGCCATGAACACTTGGTAGTAATCAATATATTCCAGGAACACGTTTTTGCTTGATGCATTTCATGTTCTACAGATGCTTTTTCTAAAAAGCTGTTTCGTTGGCCTGTGCAAATGTCTCCATTGTAGCACAGAAGCACAAGAAGATTGATGTCCGGTCTCAGCTGTACCTGTGAGAGTATTTGAAGTCAGCTGCATGATGATATGCAGCCAGTGTATACTCATCAGGTATTGGTTGTCAGTTACATGGTCCCATGCAGCCAGTGTATACCCATCAGGTACTGGTTGTCAGTTACATGGTCTGGTTGTCAGTTACATGGTCACATGCAGCCAGTGTATACCCATCAGGTACTGGTTGTCAGTTACATGGTCCCATGCAGCCAGTGTATACCCATCAGGTATTGGTTGTCAGTTACATGGTCCCATGCAGCCAGTGTATACCCATCAGGTATTGGTTGTCAGTTACATGGTCCCAGCAGCCAGTGTATACCCATCAGGTATTGGTTGTCAGTTACATGGTCCCATGCAGCCAGTGTATACCCATCAGGTATTGGTTGTCAGTTACATGGTCCCATGCAGCCAGTGTATACCCATCAGGTATTGGTTGTCAGTTACATGGTCCCATGCAGCCAGTGTATACCCATCAGGTATTGGTTGTCAGTTACATGGTCCCATGCAGCCAGTGTATACCCATCAGGTATTGGTTGTCAGTTACATGGTCCCATGCAGCCAGTGTATACCCATCAGGTATTGGTTGTCAGTTACATGGTCCCATGCAGCCAGTGTATACCCATCAGGTATTGTTTGTCAGTTACATGGTCCCATGCAGCCAGTGTATACCCATCAGGTATTGGTTGTCAGTTACATGGTCCCATGCAGCCAGTGTATACCCATCAGGTATTGGTTGTCAGTTACATGGTCCCATGCAGCCAGTGTATACCCATCAGGTATTGGTTGTCAGTTACATGGTCCCATGCAGCCATGTATACAGGCCAGGTATTGGTATTGGTTGTCAGTTACATGGTCCCATGCAGCCAGTGGTATTGTTTGTCAGTTACATGGTCCCATCAGCCAGTGTATACCCATCAGTATGGTTGTCAGTTACATGGTCCCATGCAGCCAGTGTATACCCATCAGGTATTGGTTGTCAGTTACATGGTCCCATGCAGCCAGTGTATACCCATCAGCAGTTACATGGTCCAGCCAGTGTATACCCATCAGGTGTATACCCATCAGGTATTGGTTGTCAGTTACATGGTCCCATGCAGCCAGTGTATACCCATCAGGTATTGGTTGTCAGTTACATGGTCCCATGCAGCCAGTCCCATCAGGTATACATGCAGCCAGTCCCATCAGGTATTGGTTGTCAGTTACATGGTCCCATGTGTATACCCATCAGGTATTGGTTGCCAGTTACATGGTCCCATGCAGCCAGTGTATACCCATCCCATGGTCCCATGCAGCCAGTGTTACCCATCAGGTATTGGTTGTCAGTTACAGGTCACATGCAGCCAGTGTATACCCATCAGGTATTGGTTGTCAGTTACATGGTCCCATGCAGCCAGTGTATACCCATCAGGTATTGGTTGTCAGTTACATCACCCATGGTCCCATGCAGCCAGTGTATACCCATCAGGTATTGGTTGTCAGTTCTCCCATGCAGCCAGTGTATACCCATCAGGTATTGGTTGTCAGTTACATGGTCCCATGCACCAGTGTATACCCAGTGCACTCCATACTTTCACATGCTGTATACCCATCAGGTCCATGGTCACATTGTATACCCATCAGAAGGTCCCACCAATGAGTGAGAAACCTTCAAATACTGTATGTATGGTTTGAAGACAATGAGTGAGAAACCTTTCCTTCCTTCTTGATTGAACTGTATATTTTGTGTTTTTGATGAATTTTCATTCATAAAATGTTGTAACTTTGTCCGTACTTCGCCATGGTAAATCAGGAGTTTTCCAAGATGGCGTGTGCGGGATATCCCTCAGTTGCCTTTCTTTATTGCAGTTTGCCTTTATAGGCCTTTCCGTTTAGTGGGGACAGGGTAGGATATATTTATTTATCATCTAATGGATGTTGTTATAGGTGCAATAAAGCAATCTGATAAACATGGTATCCAAATCTGATAACTATGCAAATTACGTCAATCCACAAACTACTTTTATTAAAGAGAAGTAATTTGTGAATCCGATTCCGCTCCATGATACCCTTTCATAATCCACCCAGTAACTGTAGGGACTAAACCTTCCACCCTTGAATCCGACTTTTGTATCTGATGCCATGTGAGCTGTACAACATGTGCTCTTGAGTGAGGGTGTGTGTGACACCTATCCTATCTTCAGGACAATGTGTGTGAAACTTTGCCTATCCCTAACACAGAGGATGTAAATAAGGACAAGAGTGTTCATACTGGAACATTGGAAGAGGATTTAGGAGCAGTAGGAGGACTCAGTCTAATATCACAGAAGTCAACTAGAGTGTCAAGGAAATCTCAGTCTTCACATCGGTCTGGAAGTTCAAATGTGAGTAAACACTCTTCAAGCAGTCTTACCACTGTAATAATAGTCTATCAGGAAAGCAAACTGCAAAACTTGAGAAATTAAGGAAACGTGCTGAATTAGAGGAGTTGAAACGTAGGCAGAGTGAAGATAGACACTTAGATTTTTTGATAGCTAGAGTAGAAGATGAGGCTTTTGAGGTACAAAAGAGGGCAGAGGAAGATATAATTCATGCATGAATTCAGGCACAGATGCAAGAAAGGAAAGCTTTGAAAGCAAGAGAGCGCTTTCAGATTGAAGTCTCCCGTAAGAGGCAGGTACGTCAAGAAGAGAGGATGTTAGCAGAAGTAGAACTGGTTGATCAGTTGCTTAATCATAACCCTGCCATTGTGACACCTAAAACTGAGCTCTTGTCTCATGAGTCTCTGCTGGACCCAAACGCAGCAGTGTTTACATCCTTACTTCCAGATAATGAATTGAGTAATAAGATCAATCCTCAACTTGGAACCCAAACTGGATTTGATGACAATTACACTCATACACCTGACGATTTGCCATCTAATTCTGGTTTGCTTCCTCAAGTCCAGCATGTGACACGTTCCCCAAGGTTTGACTCCAATACTCAACAAAGCTTTCTTTCTCACCAAGAGCCACAGCCTCCTAATCAACATTACATGACAGAACGATTGGTTTCCTCATCCTACGGAATCCCCCAGCCTACACTGCCATCGTTTTTTAATGGTAAGGAGAGAGACTTTGCTATCCTCAAGATGGCTTTTGACAGTATTGTAGATAGCCACGTCCATTTGTCAGAGCAGTTTAAGTTTCAGGTGTTGCTGGATAGATTGGGTGGTTCTCCAAGGCGCCTTGCCGAGGCTTTCTTGTATGACTTGAAGCCCTACACTAGTGCTATGCAAGCTCTAAAAGAAACGTATGGTCAGCCAAGACAGTTGGTCCAAAGTGAACTAGCCATGATCATGAACCTTCCTACTGTGAGATACAATGACTTTGACACATTTGAAAATCTCGCTCTTTCTGTACATACACTTGTTGGAATGCTCGTTCCCTTGAGGGTGACAACGGTTTTGAACTTAGATGTGGGTCGCATGTAGATCGTCTTTTGAGTAAACTGCCACAAACCAACCGGGATGGATTTATTGAATACTTCCTGAACAAGGGTATTCTGAGTCGGGATAAAGACAGGACCTACAATCTTCTTCACTTCTCGGATTTGTTGAAGCTGACAGCTCGGGCCAAGAAAATTGGTCATAAGGCAGCCAGTTTGTATCAAGCCCCAA